CCCCCCCCCCCCCCCCCCCTCGGGTCTGTTTCGATCGTCGGTTCCCTCTCCCCTTCCCCGGTACTGCTACGAACGCAAACTGCGCGTGGGCCCGTCCGTTTGGATGCCCGTGGACTTGAGCTTTCCCTCAAATGCCATTGGCCCTTGTTGCCTCTCGCTGCAGAGTTCAGAGCCCATCCTCACCGAAACACGTTTGGTATGGCGATCCACTGCTGTCGAACATGTCCATTTATGCTGCATCTTGTCGCTGGTGTGCTTTTTCTGTTCCTTTTTTTCGCGTGCAGCTGGATAAGAAAAGGCGTTCCATCCCGCGAGATGCATTCCGTGCCAGAAACAACACCTTCGCGAGGTTATAACATTAATCTATGAAATAGAGAGGCGTTTTTTTTTACCCTTATCTCCAAACCACACCCGTAACCCCTAGAGTACCGGAACCAAGCTTTTATACCCTCGCGATGGCTGCTGTGCCAGGTACAAGAGCTTTCGTCTCGGCGATAAATTTACGCCACTGACTCAAGTACAAACGGTCTCTCTCTCTTGCCCGCCGTCTGCTGTGTTTGTCGGTGTGATGACATGCAGGGACCGGGATGTTCGCAAGGATGCAGGCGGTAGCAACGGTCGGGGTCCCGATCCTGCCCCCGCGGCGGCGGCGGAGGAGGAGGACGACATGTCGACGTCTCTCCTCGACATGGACACAAGCAAGCTCTACGCGCAGGTAGACAGAGTGGGAATACCCGAATAAGATGGCGGTGGGGCAGTAGATAATTAAGGTGGCCGCATTATATGAGACAGCCGTCTTATGCTCCATGTGTAGAACAACTTGACTGTTCCGTCTCTGCCGGCCAATTCCAGCCCGCCTTACTGTGGACGACCGCTTTTATTCGTGCCGCCTTACTGGAGGACCCCCACGGCATCATCTAATTCCCTCCCTCCGACCTTGACAAGTTGCTCGCGCGGACGTACGTACTGGTGTGTTGCCCGGTAGCGGGATTGTTGTCAGCGGTGGTATATCTTTGTGCCCGTGTATCATGTGTGTGCTGCTGGTTGGTTCATGGTACCATTTCCTCGTTTGCGGCCGGCAAAGTAAGAATCAGGGAGTGGGATGCTGTCTCATCTTGTAGGCGCGAACGCATGCCATCAAATTGTTCTCTTTAAGCTTAGCCTCTGCACGGGTGATGCTGATGGTCGTTGATTCAATTCGTGCAGCGCTGGCAATTCGTACGTTGGCTTGGACCTCTGGCCACGGCTTTGGGACCTGCTACCGACGCGTGTAGCGAACACTTTCCTTTGTGTCCAAACTCTTTGGGCATTTTCGTTTTCTCTACCCTTGAAACACAAACTTTTTTCGAACGAAACCCAACCAGGGCTGTCTTCGTTAATTTTACCGTGAACCGTGGTAACGCGTTGAATCCATCCTAAGAGAGACACTACGTTTTTTTGTGCACAAGGGAAATTTTTACCATAAGAAAGTCAACATTACCGGGAATTGAATGGTGCTTGTTGTTTGCCTAAATTCCACGTGTGGACCGTGTATTGTCCACGGGATTTTTTCCACGGTAATTGGTAATGTTGACTTTCACATGGTAAAATTTGCCGTTGTGTACAACAATCCGTAACTCTTGTTATTTGATGGATTCAACTATTTATTTGTCGCGGTTCACGGCAAGATTGACGAAGACAGCCCTAAAAACCACGATAAAAAAAATAGCTACAATTGTAGAACCTTTCCTGTGGAAGCGCGCCCGTTTGAAGCGTCTGTCGCGCCTAACCTTAACCTTTTGAGTCATCGCACTCGCCGCCGCTCCCTAACTCTCGCCCCCCCCAAACGCGTCGACAGGTAATGAAAAGAGAGCGGGAAGCATCCCAGGCGGTGGGCAAAGACTACGCGGCCCGCCCGGCATCCTACAAGGGTTCCCTCAGCCTCAAGCTGGACCGCTACACCCAGCGCCGCAAGAGCCGGTCGCGGAGCCCCGACCGGCAGCGGACGTCGGGGGGCGGGGGGAGCAAGGGAGAGCGGCGCGCCGCCGAGCCGTCGCCGCCGCGACGCAAGGCGGCCCCCGTGGTGAGTGCGGAGGAGCTGCGCAGGCAGCAGGAGCTCAAGAGGAGATACGGGGACGCTTCTGCCTCCAAGAGATGATTCTGCACGACCCCGGCTGATAGCCGTGCAAGAACTGCAAGAGACGAGGCGGGACAAAATGGTTGTGGTTTCGTGGCGTCACACACAACACCCCGTGTTCGCCGCCGACTCTTGCTTCAACAATGCTCGCGAGTATTCCAAAGTGCTGGCATGTGCCAACTGGTCACCAACACCGCCCTTTCGGTAGATGGCAACGGAGATTACAAGTCTCGAATGGGAAGCGGAGCACGCAGATGTGAAGGGGGGGGGGGGGTACGGCTGTATGGGGGATAATGACGGCGTCCTTGCATGCCGAAGTAGATCTGGCGGGATGATGGGGCTGTTGAAGGGGAAGACTAGGAGGGCTTGGGATAGTGTGGAGCCAATCAGGGATGTCCCTGTTGCGCCCTTTGAGAATTTAGTTTTTGTTTTTTTTTCGCTCCCAGCTTTTCGCAGGAAACCGGCTTTGCTACCCTAGCTGAAGAGCATGGAGAAGCACCCTCACCTCGTTGGTTTGTATGTATGCGGGTTCCCCAACCATCTTCCCCTACGCTGCTGCCGCTCTGTTCGGTAGAAAAGCAGCGGCAGGGTCGGTATTTTCGGGGCCGAAACAGCCCCAAGTTTCCGTGGTATTATGATATACCGTATAGCCGATACACGGGGTGCATCTACGATCCAGGTCTACACGGAAGGATACGTTTTGCGGTATATTGTCCGTCTTCTTCAATGTTGAACGCGAGAAGAAGAAACGTGTCGGCAATTCTTTCCGTCAACATGTCCTCGTTGTCACTCACTTTTCTTTCTGGGAACGAAATGCGGAAGATTTTTTTAAGTTGCGAGCGCGGAACTTGTCACCCTACATGACTATAGAGGCTAGAAAGACTTCTAGTGGAGACGGCCTGGGCAACCCGCAAAGTTTACAGGTATTGTGTGTCCGGTGTATTTTGCTTTGTGGGGAGGGAGGGAGCGTGTTAGTGTCGACCGACGTTGGTTTGACTGGTGAGGATATGGTACTGTAGTAGTTTGAATCAAGTGGGTAAAACGGGTTTTGATTGCTTTTTGTCCAACAATCAAGACAATTTGACGGCAACACGGCGCCGGTGATTGTCGGGATAGCCCGGTGTGTTGCGTGGAAACCGAAGCTTGCTCCTGAATGATTCGGTTAGCATGACGGAAATGGCCGACATGGATGCATCACGTCCCTCTGACGTCAAGCAAACAAGGTTGGTAGTTGTAGTTCGCAAGGATGGCACGAGGCTATTTACCCTCTTGCTGCCGTTGTGGATGGATGCGGTAGAACAACATAAAACAGTTGGTACGGTGCTGCACCCCATGACGATGTCGCCCAACGATTATGAACTAGAGCACAAGCGCGCTTTTTCTCATTCCTGTCTTTCAGCTTCTTCTTCGTGTTTTTTGCACATCGTGCCAACATGTACCGTCCCAATAGACCTTAGAGCGGCAATCACACATCGTGCCAACATGTACCGTCCCAATAGACCTTAGAGCGGCAATCAGTCTCTCATACTACTCCTTACTACCAACTTAAAGCAGTACGTAGGCAGGAAGAGGCGCCAGGAGTTGGATAGCTTGGGGATGACTGTCTATCTCGACAATCGTCCAAGCCTAGAGGGTTTGGTGCACGCAAAGCGCAGTGCTGCTGTAGCCATGCATACGAGGATTATTTGTGTTCAAAATGGACAGGTACGTGGTGAGCGCAGACAACGTTCCAAGCTTCGCCGAGTTCGACATGGGAAGTGGTGTTTAGTTTTTTTTGTCGTGAGTGAGACAGGGGGGACGCGACCGTCGAACATGTTGACGAAAACATCAAAGCTCGGACTACCCGCGTCAACCCGGGTTGTAACTTGAGTGCACACAGGTAGGTTTCGACCACATACGCGGCGTTTGACTGCGTAGCATGCGCTGGGTCGGCGTTTCGCGAGTCCGAGACCATACAATTTTGTTGTGGCCGTAGATAAATATTTAGATCTAATAATAATCTGAAAACAACAACGAACTGTAACAGCATCATGCGGATTTATTTCACGCCGGCCGCGGATGTCACTCCAACAACGCACACACACACACGTGGACTCTCAGCCTTCCCTGTCTGTCCGTTTGTGACCATGCGCCGTTCGCGCGCGGCGCTTCCCTTACGTGTGCCAACCCTCCAAGCCTCCCCATGGACAGTATCAATCACCTGAAAACCGTCAAGAGTCAAGAATAACCTTTCTGCCCTCGACCCGTTCCGTCAGCGACCGTTTTCACACCCACCGCCGAACTGCCGCCCATGACTTGTCGGCTTCTTTTCATCATTTTTGGTTGTGGTGCTGACCCAAAACTCCCCTTTTTTACACGAAAACAGAAGGTTGTGGCCAGTGAACTTGTCATAGGCTAGATACATCCCTTAGAATCTGGCCCGCCTGGCATTTGCGGCACGGAGCTTCGAGACGTTCATATCTTCGGTACCAGGCACAGCAGTCCATATGATATCTTTTGTGTGTTGTCCAACGTCCCAGATAGGGTACCCTCTATCTTCCTTTCTGCGCCCCCCCCCCCCCACAGCCCAGCCTTTTTCGAGGGTGGCACCTCTTTCCGACACATCCGAGACTGCTGCCATCAGGCGTGTGTGCGAATCACACAATCATGGACTCGGTTATGACGCACCTTCAAGCAGCCCTCACCATAGGGGAGGAGATCGTGGACCGGAATCCGAACTTCTGCTTGACAAGTGAGTGCAACATGCCTCTCTTCTCTTGGCCTCTCCGCAATATGGTAGAAAAGTGCCCGTTATCCTCATCGGCGGTCTTCCTTTGGGAGAGAACAGAAGAAGGCGGAGCAGCGAGAGAGTGGCAGCAGTCAGTGCACGGCAAGGGCGAGATATGACAGGGCCTCCGAGCCTTGCACGTGTTAGTCAGTGTGCGCATCGCCGTTCTATGGAGCTCCTCTCGGACAGGCTGGCTGGATAGGTGTTTATTTTTCGGTACCCCCCCTCTAGAAGGCGCCGGTGGCGGTGTCCTGGTGAAACGGGGTGTGTTGTTGATGTTCTCCCGCAGGAGAGAGAGACCGAGAATTCCAGCCTGCGGTTGGTGAACGGGGGGCACAGGCAAGGCTGGGTGTATCTCGTTTCCTGGGCCTGGTGCTCGCTAGGCCAGTCAACTTCTCCACCCCTCTTGGCCAATGGAGATGAATCCATGACTGCTGGCCTTGATTACTAGGATGACGGCGTGTCCACCCCGCTCTGCGGGCGCCTGGGGATGCGCGTTTCCCCAGTCGTAGCCCTCTGTCGGTGATGAGCAAAGCTCGGACTCACTGGCGTCCATAGTGTTTAGCATGGACGCATATGCTCTTAGAGTTGCTTCACTTGTCATACCTTTCTGCTCAATCGGAAGCGTGGGTTTGATTTGATGCCAACGAAAACGGAGAAAAAGCTGCCCTCGTGACGCCATCACCGCCTCTCTTTCTCAAACAAGGGACAACTCACCTGCTGTCAAGACTTCAACACACAGTCTACCTTCGACTGCTGTGGTTATATCTCGAAATGGGTATACACAACACGAGTAGTCTTGTGTCTGAATTTTCTGAAACGGTTGTGCAGCCCACGTGTGTTTAGACAATTCGCAGCAACTCGAGGGCATTACATTTGCGTGCCGTCTCAGCTGCTCGTTTCGTCTGCGCTCGATAAAGTTCTTTGCTGCCGCCCTGCCAGCGATTGGGCCGCGTGGTGCGGTACACGGTAGTCTCGGGGAATTGGGAAGTGCCCGTTTATTGTGCGGGTAAAAGATGCTTGTGGTTTATCTGGAACGGGTAGTCTTTCTGTGTGAAGGTATAGTGGTAAGTTGTGGTAGTATCTCACGTGCATCGCTTCGGCTGCCGTCGGGGAAAGTTGAGCCGCCTAGCGAGGAACAACTTACAAAGCAGCACTGCCGGTGGGCATGGCGGGGGCGTTAGGGTTCAGGTACGGCAGGACTATGTAGGCGCCTCAGCAAGTAGTGCCTCTTGTGGTAAACTTCGTACCGTGTACTCTTGCTTCCCCCTGATTTTCCGTACTCCCAGAGCAAGGAGGTGTTAGTTCTCGCTTTAGTAGTGGGGATGGAGTGAAACAAGCGCCCCGCACACAATGTGTCATGCATGATGTGTCTACTTGTAGTATCTCTTGTTGGGCACTTTCCCAGCGGCAGGTACACTGCAATGTAGCGCACGTGACAGCAGTCGTGGGAGAATCACGGAGCGCCCGGTCCACCATGACCAGCCACGACGTACAAAATAGGGCAGAAATCTCACCGCGTTTTTCTCTCTACACACCTTCGGTGCGGTTACACATCGACCGCCCTGTCGGCCTTACGCTCCTCCCTGCGAACATCTACAGCCAGATTCAGAGTTATGGTTAAGTCTCCCAAGCAGGATTGTGCAGAGTCGCTCGATCTCGAACATGCACCTTCTCCCTCCGATATTGGGCGGTATTGTAGCCATGCGGCGATTGTCGTAGTTGGCTGGAGCTGCGGGAGCCGCGTGGCACGGGTGCTGGCCCTGTGATTGGTCAATTTTGCCCCGTGTGCATTCCTGCATGCATACGTATCGGCGATTTAATGCGTGAGCGTGCATCCCCGTGCCGAGATACACACCTGCTCTCCGCACGGCTTTAATCAGCTGCCCTTCGCCCCCCCCCCCCATGAAGAACGGTTGGCCATCGGTGATCGGTCGTGTGGGAACAATGGTCCGTCCTCTCGAGACAACGGTCGAACAGCAAAGGCATGCAAAACGCAAGAGTACGCCCCCCCCCTCCCCTCCGCCATTGGTAAATTGTCTAACAGCTAAAAGGCATGCAAGACATGAGTATCCCCTCCTCCCCCCGCCTGGGCCACGCTGATATCGCGTTCTCGTTGTCGTACAATACAGAATACATGCGGCAGATGGAGGCCAACTACGGGGGCTCTCGCGCGAGCTGGTTCCTCGGGCTTTTCAGCATTGTCACGGTGATTCTCTACTTCATCGGAGGGCTTGCGCTCATCGCGAACCTCATCGGATTCTGCTACCCCGCCTTCGCCAGCTTCAAGGTGCGGGTATTTCAACTTTTTTTTTTCTCTTCGTTTTTCTCTACAATAAATACCCACATTTTTTTTTCTTGTCGTACTGTACGAGAAAAACAACGACAATCTCTAATCACCGATACGAGTCCAGGGTGTTAATTTCTGCGGCCGGCCGCGTTTTTTGGTCCCGGTGGCGCTGTCTGGTGAAGGGAGGGTGGGTTGGTTCAAGTTTATGGGTTATGGCGGGGGGGCCGCGTGATGTAGGGATGGAGGAGGAGCAGGTGTCCGTGTGCAACACGCGTTTCCCGCTGTTGATGCGTCTGCCGCGGGTGTCAAAGTAGGTAGGAACGATTGGCCATCGGTGATCGGTTCTGTGGGAAACTGCTCCGTCCTCTCGAGGAAGCGTGGTCAATGGTATAATCGCTGAGGCAACTACACTCCCCCCCGCCGCCGCCGCGCCCGCTCTCCGACTGTGGTACTTTTTCTTATATTTTCTGCTAGGCCATCGACTCCCCAGACGCGCTCGCGAGCCAGCAGCTTTTGTCGTACTGGGTGATTTTCGGCGCTTTCTTCACCCTCGAGACCTCCTTCAGGTGAGGTTTTTGTGTGTGTTTTGTTTCATGTTCATATGCTGAGGAGTGTCCCGTTTCTGACGTCGAGTTGGCGTGTGACTTCAGGTGAGTTTTTTGTGTGTGTTTTGTTCCATGTTCATATGCTGAGGAGTGTCCCGTTTTTGACGTCGAGTTGGCGTGTGACTTCAGGTGAGGTTTTTGTGTGTGTTTTGTTCCATGTTCATATGCTGAGGAGTGTCCCGTTTTTGACGTCGAGTTGGCGTGTGACTTCAGGTGAGGTTTTTGCGTGTGTTTTGTTCCATGTTCATATGCTGAGGAGTGTCCCGTTTTTGACGTCGAGTTGGCGTGTCACCACGTTAGACCTCCGCGTCAGTTGGACTGTTATAGTATAGTATAGTACGGACATTAGAAGGTACTGAGCGGAGACGGGAACGGTTTTTAATGTGAAGACGACAACAACAACAACTGTCATCGCTGGTTGTTTGTATTGCTATAAACACGTGTTGTCTCTCCATGGTTTAGAGCTCCGACCCGGATGGGTCGGTTGATGCATATCGCTTGCAGGCGTTTTTTCTTGGTATACATGTACAGGAGGAAAGTTGGGGGGGAAATAAAGTTTAGCTTTTTTTTTCTTTTTTTTCTTAATACGACACAACGAAACCATCTCTATCATTGAAAAGAATCTGAGACAGATTAGCAATGGATTCATTGCGTCAGAAAGTACCTGTATGTCTACGATTGCCCAGACAGCATATAGGGATATCTCCCCTTTTGTATGTATGAGTTCCTTCCTCCTGTGTGGCCCAGACTGATTCCTCAAACGTATGCACCTAGAGGTGAGTGGACGGGCGCCCGAATGTAGGCTACGGGACGAGCACCGTTCCACAAAAGACATGTTGTGTTCTTATTTTTTCGAACGTAAAGTGATCAGACCACCTGCCATGGACTTGTCCGCCTACCTACCTACCTCCCAACGCGCAAATGTTTCCGTCTCTCTCTCTTTCTCGCTCCCTCCGTCTCTGCCTGTCTAATCTGTCTCTGTATCTGTCTGTGTGTGTCTCTCTCTCTCACCCGCTGCCTCGATGGTCAAAATCTCTGCGGCCTCTTCCGCGGGTTCACCACCACCGCCCCACACCAGCGTTCTGACAGCGGCCATCCCGTACTACAGCATCGCCAAGGGGTTCATCTTCGTGTACTCCTTCCACCCCTTCACCCGGGTAAGTCGAGCTTGTCTCCGCCGAAGCCGCAGCCCTTGCTTGTGCTATCTATTATATTCGTCAGCCCCATCTTTTGATCGCTCGTCTCTTCCAACTGCGATTTGAAAGCAAGTTTGATTCATGAGCGTTATACTTAACAAAATGCATGAGCATTTTACTTAACAAAATGCATTCCTGCTGTGTCTCGCACTTTCTGCGCTGAGTCTTTTCCTTTTTTTTGTATAACATTTTCTTTCCGGTGTTTTCAAGTATTTTCTTGTTTTTAGCCTCAACCCCCGCCCTGTCCTCGCCTACCCGTATCCCCCTCCCCCTCCCCCCACCGTTGTTAACGAGAACGTTCTCAACAACCCAAGCAAGGCAAGTTTGTCCTTGAAATATCGCGGGGGCGCTATGAATTTCGCCCCCAACACACCAACCGCAACCGTTCCAACGCAGCCGCCTGATTGCTCCCGAATCCCTCTAGATCCCCATGTGTTCTGTCCCCTCTCTCAGGCACGAGCATCACGCCCGACTCAAGTTCACCCACGCATCGCATCTCCACAAACCTTCTCTTCTGCATTTTTCACGCCCACGCTCAGGTTCGCCCACACACATCACCCTTCCACAAACCTTCTCTTTCACCCACACGCATCACCCCTCCACAAACCTTCTCTTCTGCATTTTTTTTCTTTTTTTCGTCAGGGCGCGACCCACCTGTACGACGTCGTCATCCGGCCCCTGGTCATCCAGCACGTCTTGCCCGGCTCCTCCCAGGCCAAGAGAGCGCCGCCTTCGGCGGCATCGGCCGCCGCTGCTACGGCCTCCGCCGCCGCCTCGGGTGCCTTTGGCGCTGCTGCCGCCGCCGCTTCGTCGCCGGTCCCTGAGTTTGCCGAGAGGGTGATGAGCACGGGGGCACCGGCGGTGACAGTGCCTGCTGGGTTCGTGTCGCCCGACCTGAGCGAGCTGAGGGTGAGCCTTCTGTGTGTGTTCGGTGTTTTCTTCTTTCTGTTTTTTTTTTTTCGGAGCTTGTGCTTGTGTTGTTGAAGGTGTGCCTCCTGAATGGGCATCGACCGCGCTATGTAACGGGTTGACCAGTGAAAAGACGTCAGTCTCTGCGGCTGGAAACAGAAAATGCGTCTATGTATGGGCCACGATCTGGAACCCCGTGAGGGGGCATCATGGGGGACGCTGCGTTGTGCCGGGTGCAATGCAGGTGAAAGCGCGTGACACGAAGGACGTGGTAAGTAGTGTTGAAGTTGTGTCAAGATCTGAACATTGCCAGGCGCCCTCGCCAAAGCGCTGGTATGTTTGCCCAGGTGTATGATATGGTGTCGGAAAATGTTGGCGCAACTGAGGGATGGTCGCACACCCTTAAGTACCGTTTTTTTTTTTGTACTATTTTCTTGCTCTAAAACAAGGAATCTATATTTCTCCACGGATAAAAGTCCAGCAAATATTAGGAACGAATTGATAGCGTTAGCGGAGGCACTACTTGTGTTTCCACGATTCCCCGAGCAGCATGTCTGCACGTAACGGGCTCGTGATTTTTTTTTTTTAATGGTAGCTGTGTCGGCGAGCCGAGCAGCGTATGGTGATACCTCCCCCTGTGGCTAGCAGCCTCTCCAATGTTTTTATTTTTAGGGAAGAGTCCACAGCGTTACCAGAGGCACTACCTGCATTTCTGCTTCTCTCCCCCAAGCAGCGTACACGTGGGTAACAGGCTCTCCATTTTATTTTATTTTTTTCAGGTGGTGGTTGTGTCGGCGAGCGACGTCGTTCCGACCGAGGCACCGGGAGCGGGCGTGGACTGCGACCCCTACTGCGTGCTGGAGGTGTTGCCGGAGGGAACGAGGCTGAAGCAGGGGGCGGCGGAGAACACCAAGTACAAGACCGTGTGCAAGGTGTGTACCATGTATGATCTCGCCCGTTTCGAGACGGGGAACGGGGGGGGGTGTACTAATAGTCGTGCATGCCGTAGTCGTTAGACCATTGGCCTCGCATCCCTACAACGCCGGGACGGAGCACGCACGGTTTTCGCCGGACCAGACGGGGTGTTGGTAAGACTGCTGGCTGTGTGGAGTGAGAAAATCTTCATGGCCATTTTTTGTCCGGACTTGTTTTTTGTGTTCACCAGCCAGGCGCACCTCCGCTAGTTTTGGCTGAGACAGAACCCACGACTTTTTTTTTTTTTTCGTCAGACGGGCACCGCGAACCCGGTGTGGAACGAGGGAGTCACGATCCCTCAGGTGGAGCACCTGGATGCCAAGCTCGTGGTGACGGTCTGCAACAAGCGCGCGATGGGCAGGTGCGTTATGTGTTATGTGTTGGAAGTATCGTGTTTTGAAGAGGAGTCTTAATGCAGAGAAAGCAGGGTGGGCGTGGCACGTTTCACGGCCGTGTTTCGGGTGCTGTTGCTGTTGATGTTGTCTTGAGGTGTTGGTGCTGTGCTGGCGTTGGTAACGGCGATGGATGCTCTTGATGTGTCTTGTCTTGAGGTGGTGGTGCTGTTAGGATGCCCCCCCTTTTACTGTCATTGCCTTCGAGCAATTCCTCCACAAACACACACACACACACACACACACACACACACACACACATCTAAACCCTGGGGCCTGCAAAAAGCGTCACATGGTCCTCCGTCCCGGCATTGTAGCGATGGGGAAAGGTCTATGGTCTACCGACTCGCGACATCGCGTTAAACACCGCCCCCTCCCCTCGACTTTTTTTTTTTTTTTTCCCGTCTTGCGTCTTGCAGAGACCAATGCCTCGGTAAGATCGAGGTTCCGCTGTCATCGGTGAAGGGTGCGATGGAGCCCAGGGACATGGTCATGAGCCTCGCCACCGCTGACGGTGCCACGGAGCCCGCGTGCGGCGACCTCCGCGTGACGGTTCAACTCAAGTAAAAAAAACAAAAAGGAAGGGGGGGGGGGGGGGGAGGATTGATCGGCGGGTGCTACGCCCAGATGGCGTGCGAGAGGTATGGGGAAAGTGATCGTTGAGGCGGAAGAGCGCGCTCTGAGGGAAGCACGGTTGAAACCCTCGGCTTGGAGAAGCACCCGACCCGCCGTGCACGGGAACAAGCGTCCGGCGAATGCAGCTGGGAGGGTTGGATGGTTCGGTGGAGTCTACTAGACGCGCGGCAGAAAACACGTCTGGTACGACATGGTCGGGAGCGCCTTAAGCGTTCTCGAAGCTTGGTTCGAGCGAGGGGCGGAATCAAAGTTCTGAAACGTGGTATGTATCTACGAAGTTTTGGTTCGGACGGCGGGAGGGAGACTGGCAAGCTAGCTCGAGAACCGAAGGGGTCGGGGTTGATGCTCCTGCTCTGTAGTAGAGCTCGGCTACATACAAGGCAGAGGGAGTCAAGTCATCACGGGGGGGGGGAGGATCTCGCAACTCTGAGAAAAAGGTTTGGGGGGGAGGAGGGAGGGAGGCGTGCTTGGTAAGTAGCCTTGCACGGCCGCGGTCTCCAGACGCTGGGCCGCTGGAGGGGGAGAGCTGAAGATGTGTTGTGCGAAAAGGAGAACAGTTGTGGGGGGGGTTGGGGCAGCATGGCGGCGTTCATTGCTTTCGTAGCCTGCACTCGGTCTTCGGTTGCCCTTTCTCATCCGTTCGCGGCGGCAGGCGTTTTGTGGTGGCTGGTGAAGCGCGCGCGCGCAGCGTGGGAGTGTGCGGGGGAGGGGGGGGGGGGGGAACTGCATGCACAGGCATCGTGAGGGTACAAGTGTGAAAAAGCTTGATGCACACCCCAGAGGTCCCATTCCTGCTG